CGCAGGGACGTGGGGGCAGCCGTCTGCCCCGTCGTCTCTGCCTCATCGTGGGGCCTGGACGGGAGGGGGAGGTGTTTGTCGGGAAGGCGGCCCCTACCTCAGTTTCCTTCTCCTTGGAATAACCCTTAGAAGAGGGGTGACAGGAAGGTTGGAGTCGCCCCACTGGATTGGGGAAAACCGAGGCCGCAAGGCCCAGACCAGAATTGAGATGCCCCAGTGCATGGCCCAGGGGCGCAGAAGCCGATCCTTCCCCGCTCTCAGGGGTACCGGTCAGGAAGGGGGAGGCCCGGGAGGCGGTGGTGGGACCCTCAGTCTGCTGCATCAGGTAACTTGCTTCCTGCGTCCAGATGGAGCAGAGGACGGGGCCAGGGCAGGGATGACATCACCACAAGTGGGGTTAAGACTCCAGCCTGGCCATCTGGGCTGTGGGAGGGGCCGCAGTGCTGTCTCCCCCATCCGCCCACCCCGCCCCTTCCTCCCAGCTGCTTTGCACCCCCTCCCCCATGTCCCACCTGTCGCCTTACCTAGAAGCTGGGCTCTGTGGCTGAAGTCCAGGCTGGGGGAGCAGCACCCCCCAGCCCAGTGGATCCACCTGTCACTCCTGCGGACGGGTCAGGACCCTTGGCCCAGCCTTGTGGGCCAGCTGCTGAGGAGAGAGCGCGGGGACTCCTGGGGGTAGCTAGCTCTCCTTCGCAGCTGGGATGTGAGCCCAGGGAGCACCCCAGTAAATGGCCGGCGTGCAGAGCTGGGACCCACTGAGAGTATGGGCCTCTCGTGGGCTCAGGACCCCTCTGCCCCCCAGGTGCCACTCCCAGGACCTTAGGGGTGGGACTGAGCAGGCTTTCAGGGCCTACTGTCCAGCTCAGGAAAAGCTCAGGCCCTGGAGGTTCCGCCCCAGGTGTGGGGCTGTCTGGCGGCCACTACCTGGGGCTGAACCCTCCCCGTCTCCCCCAGGTCCCCCAGCGTCAGCCCCTCAGGGGGACCTGCTGTTTCTGTTGGACAGCTCGGCCAGCGTGTCTCACTATGAGTTCTCCCGAGTTCGGGAGTTTTTGGGGCAACTGGTAGCACAACTGCCCCTGGGCCCCGGGGCCCTGAGTGCCAGCCTGGTGCACGTCAGCAGCCGGCCACACGCCGAGTTCCCCTTCAGCCAGCACAGCTCAGGTGCAGCTGTCCAGGACGCCATACGTGCAGCAGCCCAGCTCATGGGCGACACCAACACTGGCCTGGCGCTGGCATATGCCAAGGAACAGCTGTTTGCTGAAGCAGCAGGTGCCCGGCCGGGGGTGCCCAAGGTGCTGTTGTGGGTGACAGATGGCGGCTCCAGCGACCCCGTGGGGCCCCCAATGCAGGAATTGAAGGACCTGGGTGTCACCGTCTTCATCGTCAGCACGGGCCGCGGCAACCTCCTGGAGCTGTCGGCCGCCGCTTCGGCCCCTGCTGAGAAGCACCTGCATTTCGTGGATGTGGACGACCTACACATCATCACTCAGGAGCTGAGCGCCTCCATTGTCGGTAGGTGGGATGACAGAGTCTGGGGGACCCCAGCAAAGGTCCGGGAAGAGAGCTGGAGTGAGACTGGGAGGACCTCGTGTGTCTGGAGCAGGGGCCAGGGGTGAGGGACTGTGCTGCTCTCCAGGGCTTCCTCAGGGAGGTGACCACTGCGTGCCCCACCAGCTGGGCTGTGGAGGGACACAGAGGCAGGCCTATGTAAACAACTCTGGGGGGGTCTCTCTGCTGCCGGGCTGGAGGCCCCACGGAGGAGGGACGGAGGCTACACCGGGGGGATGTGGCTCCGTGGAGAGGAAGAGGAAAGAGGTTCCAAGCCCGAGGACCCTGTGGATGGGCAGCATGTGCTTCTGTCCACGTGCCAGGGCCCGCCGTGCTTGGAGAGGGGGCCAGGTCAGGAGGGGCCAGCCGGCCCCCCATAAAGCAGGGGGAGGACAGTGACACGGCTTTGAGCGGGTCTGCACTGCAGGCCGTTGTGGGGATTGCTGGAGAGAAGGCTGGACCAGGGAAGGCCTGCTGCAAACCCCCTAGACTTTCTTCTGGACCCCTGACCCAGTCACCCCCATAGGGGGAGGAGTTGGAAACAAAGGGCCTGGTCCCCGACACCACCTGCTGGAGCCACTGAAAAGAGCCACGTACCCCAGGGTCCCTTCCGAGGCTATGCCTGTGGGTGAATCATCTCCCCGAAACCGGAAGGGGTGGCTCTGTGGGCTGTCGAGAGGTAGAGGGTCCCCTAGTGCTCCAAAGACTTCCTCCAGGGACGCCTGGCCCCCTGTTGCCCCAGGTCAACCACTGTAGCTGAGCCTGCGAGGGAGAGCAGGAGAGAAGCAGGCACTTGGACAGGGAAACTGGAGGCTGCGGAGCAGTCAAGTCCGGGCGGGGGGCTCCTGGGACTGGGAGTGGGAGTGAGTGTGGGCGGCAGGCAGGAGAGTGAGTGCTGGCAGGGCCGGCCATTGGGACGCCCAGCATTACAGGAGAAAGCATCAAGATGGGACCGGCTTAACCGTGCCAGACACGTATCAGCCATACCTCTCTGCACGGTCACTCAGATGGCTCAGGAGTAATGCATGTTTAGGGGTTCCACTTTGGGGGGGGGTCACACTCTCCTGCAGACATGAGGCAGGCAGCATCCCCAGCCCCAGGTCCAGCTGCTCCTGGAGTTGGCATGTCTCGCTGCCCCTCAGGGCACGTCCTGGCTGCACTGGTAGCAGGCCTTCGCCTTGACTCTCCAGAGCTAAGCTGCCCCCAGACCCTGTGCTGGCCACTTGGGCTGAGTTAGGGGCTGGCGCTCTGTTCTCAGACACCACCTTGGGCCCTGCCACCTTTGAGGGGACCTGGTCTAGGACTGGGTGGGAGATGGCTGAGGTAGCTTCCCACTGGTCTGGGTTTGGGGCTGAGGCAGGCAGGGAAGCTCCTGATGGGGCCAGAAATGGGGGTGCTGCACGCCTGTCCTTGCCCCAGCCCCATAATTCTTCTGCATATTAGCATCTGCTGGGCGTAGCTGAGGCTGGCCTGGCTCCCGGCGCTCTTGTTCCTTGCATCTCCCTGGTGGGTGGACCCTACCCCTGCCTCTGCTCTCAGGGTCCTCCCTGAGTCAGCAGTCAGGGACCCAGACCCTCTTGCCGGTCACTCAGATGGCTCAGGAGTAATGCATGTTTAGGGGTTCCACTTTGGGGGGGGGGGTCACACTCTCCTGCAGACATGAGGCAGGCAGCATCCCCAGCCCCAGGTCCAGCTGCTCCTGGAGTTGGCATGTCTCGCTGCCCCTCAGGGCATGTCCTGGCTGCACTGGTAGCAGGCCTTCGCCTTGACTCTCCAGAGCTAAGCTGCCCCCAGACCCTGTGCTGGCCACTTGGGCTGAGTTAGGGGCTGGCGCTCTGTTCTCAGACACCACCTTGGGCCCTGCCACCTTTGAGGGGACCTGGTCTAGGACTGGGTGGGAGATGGCTGAGGTAGCTTCCCACTGGTCTGGGTTTGGGGCTGAGGCAGGCAGGGAAGCTCCTGATGGGGCCAGAAATGGGGGTGCTGCACGCCTGTCCTTCCCCCAGCCCCATAATTCTTCTGCATATTAGCATCTGCTGGGCGTAGCTGAGGCTGGCCTGGCTCCCGGCGCTCTTGTTCCTTGCATCTCCCTGGTGGGTGGACCCTACCCCTGCCTCTGCTCTCAGGGTCCTCCCTGAGTCAGCAGTCAGGGACCCAGGCCTGGGCGTGAGGAGGCAGGCGACCTTGGTTTCCCTGATCTCCTGCGCCACCTGCAGATGCCATGCGGCCACAGCAGCTCCGTGCCTCTGAGGTCACATCCAGTGGCTTCCGCCTGGCCTGGCCACCCCTGCTGACGGCTGACTCGGGCTACTATGTGTTGGAGCTCGCACCCAGCTCCGAGCCAGGGACCGCGCGACGCCAGCAGCTGCCGGGGAACGCCACGGGCTGGGCCTGGGCAGGCCTAGACCCCGACACGGACTATGACGTGGCGCTGGTGCCAGAGTCCAACGTGCGCCTCGTGAAGCCGCAGCACCTGCGGGTGCGCACGCTGCCAGGTGAGG